GCAGACCGTTGCCTCAGAGGAAGTTGAAAGTGACGAAACGCGTCATTGGGCTGGATCCATGCAAGCATTACAATCATAGAGACAGGAACTCCAGTGGGCACAATCTATGTGCAATTGCCATATTTTAATTGTAAGTGTATTTTAATCATTTTAAATAAATTTATTCTGACATAATACACTATGGGAAGCATTTGTTCTCTCTCTAAGTATAAGAGAAGGTGGAAGATAGAGGAATAGTATTAGACGGTTTTGGAAAGATAAGCTATTGTTTGGAAGAATATACCCCAATTTATTGTCTGATCAAAAAATGAAGGAGAGGATTTGGTTCAATATATATCAACAAAACGCTAATTGTTCATCTGAAATATGGTGAGCAATAAGAGTCGGTGAGAGCGGCCAGATCTTATGCACGGTGGAGACTGGAGAGCACTGATTCACTAATTGTTTTTGCATTCACGGACGTGGTGTGGATTATAAAAGTTGGAAGATATATCTTCACATATTTCAATGACTTTATTGTATTAAGAAGTAATGGACTTCACATATGGTTATGTAGATTAAGTGGGAGTTGAACATCCCCTGTGAGATTTAATACAGGATTTTCTATATGTGCACATTCTATGAGCTGTACTAGCACAAGTATATGGTTTTTTTGTTATTCACATATTTTTCAAAGTTTATATGGTTTATAGTGTCTAGACCGTTAGACCAAGAGTTTTTTCTGAAATATCATTAGCACACGCATTGTGCAACACAGGTGTTGTGGATAACACATAATTGTTTCATCACTTTGTGATAATTTCACAATTTATAAAAAGAAATCACATTTTAGGAATACACTTTGAGTTTGTTGAAGCGCAGTGCTTTTTTTCTCCTTTCCAGCGCACTGACCGCCCAAAGCCTGCACTGACAACCTAGAGCCCGAACTGACCACCCAGAACCTGCACTGACCAAACAGAGCCTGTACTGACCACCGCACTGATCGCCCAAAGTCTGCACTGACCACCTAGAGCCCGAACTGACCACCCGGAGCCTGCACTGACCACCCGGAGACCACAGCCTGCACTGACCACTGCACTGACCGCCCAGAGCCTGCACTGACCGCCCAGAACTCGCACTGACCACCCGTAGCCCGCATTCTGCACTAACCACCCAGAACTTGCACTGACCACCTAGAGCCTGCACTGACCACCCAGAGCCCGCACTGACCGCCAACAGCCCACACTGACCACCCAAAGCCTGCACTGACCGCCCAAATCCCGCACTGACCAGTTAGAGCCTGCACTGACCACCCAGAGCCCGCACTGACCGACAACAGCCCACACTGACCGCCCAAAGGCCGCACTAACCGTCCAAAACCCGCACTGATCACCCAGAGCCCGCAGTAACCGCCAACAGCCCACACTGACCGCCCAAAGGCCGCACTGACTGCCCAAAACCCACACTGACCGCCCAGAGCCCACACTGACCACCCAGAGCCCGCACTGACCACCCGGAGCCTGTAGTGACCACCTAAGAGCCCCTGTGACCAACAGAGAGCCTGCACTGGCCACCTTAGAGCATGAACAGCCTACTGAGAGCCTGCACAGCCCCCCTGAAACCTCGAACATCCCTCCTGAGACCCTGGAGATATGAGGCCATGAACCTGGAGCAACACAGTGCATGTAGCTTCTTAGTATTCTACATTGCTGTATAAAGTATGGCTGGGATTTGTGTTCCTCTGAAACTGATGGTATTTTTCTGCAGGGTTTAACAATGTATTGTTGGGATTTGAAGTCTTCTATAGCCGGTGCTATTCTGCATTGCTGTATAATGTATTACTGGGATTTGTAGTCCACTATATTTGCTGGTCCTCTCAATGGTCAAACTACTATAGTGACCCAGGTGGCTGCTATGGGGCCCGGGGTACAGGGGGGCCAGGACATAGGGGTCCCGTTGATGCTGTGTGGGGCGCCTGGTTGCTATGGCATCACAGGCTGCTGGCTGTGAGGAGAAATGCGCCGCTGTTCAGATCACTGATGACCTGTCAGTGATCTGTGCAGGGTGCATTCCTCCTCACAGCCACTGCTGAGTGAGTGACAGCCAGCAGCTGTGGTTGAGAAAGCTGGTGTCGGCAGCAGAGGAGGAGCCTGGTGTCAGCAGCGGAGGAGGCAGGGCCCAGCGGAGGAGGAGGCCAGGTCCGGTGGAGGAGGAGGAGGCAGGGCTCACCGGTGACCGTGGAGGAGAAGGAGGCAGGGCAGTGGAGGAAGCTGACTGCGGATCGGGGCTGACAGGTAAGAGGTGTGCAGGGCTGTGACCAGCCCACCTGAGACCCTGCAGAGCCCACCATAGATTTTCTATGGTGGGCTCTGCAGGGTCACTGTGTGTGGGGTCTCAGGTGGACTATGCAAGAGGCATAACTAGAAATCACAAGGCCTGATACAAATTTTTTTTATTGGGCCCTGTGATTTCTAATTACGCCCCTGGGTATTCTGCATTGCTGTATAACGTATTACTGGAATTTGTAGTCCTCTATAGTTGGCGGTATTCTGCAGTGCTGTATAATGTATACTGGGATTTGTAGTCCTCTATAGTTAGCAGTATTCTGCATTGCTGTATATTGTATTGCTGAGATTTGTGGTCTCTCTACAACTTGGAGTCAGTGGCAGATCTACCAGGCTCACAGCTGCAGCCAGGCCCTGGCACTCCATCACTGACTCCAAGCTGTTTGAGAGATCACAGCCCTGACAAAAGGAAGAGGGCCCTGGTGACCGTCGACATTTCAGTTAAAAGACCCACCAAAATCCTCAGCACCAGGCCGTGATGCTCTTAATCTGGCCCTGTAGATAGTGTATTTACTATTTTACTCATATGTAGATCAAATGTGTGATCTGCATATGACATCAGTTAAAAAACATTTTTATTTACTTATTTTTTTATTTTGTCGTGGACAACGCTGGACATTGTGATTGACCTTAGGATTACGTCGGTGGATCTATTTTTTGGGAGTTTTTTTTATTAAAGGACTTGTCAAAAATCCTTTGTTTTTATTTTTTCAAAAAAAGTATTTTTCAAAAGTCTGGCCCCTTTTTTAAACTTTTAATTTAACCCTTTAGTGAATGGGTAGGGGTACAAGTACCCCTTACTCATTCCCATGGATGCTCCTTTATTAAACGGGTACCTTGATGTGAATAATCAATTCAGGGCAGTACCCCGACCCCCATACACCTTTTATGGCCAATAACTTGCATATAAGCATATACTCATTCCCATGGATGCCCCTTTATTAAACAGGTACCCCGATGTGAATAAGCCCCTTTGCCCGCACCCCTCATCCAACACCCCAGGGCTTTTTGGGAAGAGGCCAATGTCTCCATCGGCACGGGGACAAGGTGCTTTTCCAAGGATGAACCTGGAAAGGAAGCACCCTCCCAGTGCACAGGGCATGTGGCCTGGTATGGCAGGGAGGGGGGGCGCTCACTCCCCCCCCCTTTCTTGCCCTGCCTTGATCGCATCAAGGGTCTGGTTGGGAATTTTAGGGGGGACCCCACATCTTTTTTCCCCCATTTTTAGTTGTGGGGTTCCTCCTTAAAATTCGTACCAGACCTTAAGGGCCTGGTATGACTTTTGGGGGAACCCCACAGTTTTTTTTTCTTTTCTTTAAAAATTGTTGTTATTTTCTTAACTTTTTTTAAGTTTTCTTTTTTTCCATTTATTTAAATAATTTGTAAACATTTTTTTTTCATTTTGTAACGTTTTTTTTCTATTTTGCTCACTATCTTGTGAGGTATCGAGCAGAATAGCTGAGCTGAATGTCGCTCGGCGGCATTCGCCTAATCACTCAATGCCATTCGGCCCCTATGAGAATAGGGGCAAACGATAGCGAGTGAGCTGCTGGAGTGGTATATACAGGTGAAACTCGAATAATTAGAATATCGTGCAAAAGTAATTGCAGTAAGTGCTGCAAAAGGGGCCCAAACCAAGTACAGAGTACATATGCATGCTTGTACTTTTGAGAGGTCCCATATTGTTCTATGTACAATCCTTGTTTTATTGATTGCATGTAATAATCTACTTTTTTGAGGTTGTGGATTTGGGGTTCTTGGGGTTTTCATGAGCTGTAAGCCATAATCATCACAATTATGACAAATCACGGCTTGAATTATCTTGCTTTGCATGTAATGAGTCTATCTCATATATTAGTTTCACCTTTTAAGTTGCATTAGTGAAATAAATGAACTTTGCACGATATTCTAATTATTCGAGTTTCACCTGTATATACCACTTCAGGCCCATACATGTCAGCCCTAATTACCTCAATCTTCTCTTTTTACCTATTCATTTTCCCTTCTTAGCTATTATTTTGTGCTGATTTTTTACATTTCTATTTTTAACCATTAATAATTAAAAACATTTTTTTGCATAGAAATGTGCATAATGAAAAATACTTTTTTATTTGGAAAATACTTTACCATGGTTTGTACCAGAAACATATTCATAGTTCCATTTTAAATTAGATACATTATCAAATTAAATGTGTATTTTTATTACATATTTTTGCCAATAAATTACGTAGAAAATTAAATTATATTTGCAAGACAATATTGTCAAAAAGAAAGTCTAGTTTATCTCACCAAAAAATTGCTTTGTTATCTTAAGTAATGACAAAGTTAAACGCTGTCTCTGGTTGTAGCAGAACTTTCTGCTATGGCCACATACAAACCAGATGATTAACTGCGACCAGTTTTTGTATGACCAGAAACTCTGCAGTTCCCTGGACGCACGCTGTGTGTATGTAGGTTGGTCAGATGCTCTACTTGCATGTAACTGTTCAGATGAGCAGTTATACGTGAACAGCCGCGGCACTGGCCATTGATTTGTACAGAGTAAAAATATGATAGCTGCCGCTTCTGTTCACACATTCTGTGCATTCAGCATTATCTCCAGCGGTAAGAATCCTAGTGAATCTCGCTGGTGGCCGCCCCTTGCTGCTTGTGTGAGTATAGGCTAAATGTGAAATATCACTGAAAATATTCTGCAGCAGCTGGTAAGAGGAAGCACCACAACTGGATGTTTTTGTATGACAGGAGCCATCCTGAGATCACTGTGTCTCTAGCACAGTAATAAGTGGCCGTGTCTTCCACTTTCACATTGTCTATCTGTAGATATGCAGTGTTTATGGACTTATCAGATGTTATGATGAATCTTCCCTGATATGAAGAGGAATAATCTGTTGCTCCATTATAAGGATAAATCCTCCCAATCCATGTCAGTCCTCTCCCTGGGACTTGTTGAACCCAGCTTATATAGTAGTTGCTGAATGTATATCCAGATCCTACACAGGACATCTTCACACTCTCTCCAATGTGCTTTACTTCTGAGGAGGACTGAAGGAGCTCAACATCTGACATGACTCCTGTAAGGGAAGAATGAACATATGAGAAATAAATATTTTTATAGCAGAAATGTTTACATTTTTTTTGTATCCTAGCTTACCAATAAATTAAGACAGACACAAAAGACAAGAGAATAGTAACATGATGTCTTATTGGCTTTAGATGATCTGTGTGTTCTGAGAGAACACCAAGAGCTCACTAGAACATCACAATCTGTCACTTCATCTTTTCTACCTGGCAGGATGAGACAGGAAGCAGAGAGGAAATTTACATGACGGGGTGATGAGGGCTATAAAAGGCTGAACATATTGTATCTAGAATGAGGTTCAGGTTATTGTAGTTGTGCCTGTTATAGTGTATCTTTCTTGATAAATTATCTATTCATATTTATTCTATTTTTTAATGTGCATTTCCTCTATGTCTTGCCGTGGTTATATAAATACATGAGTATAGCATTACATAACTGTAAGGAAATGATAATGACATGTGATAAAATATCCTGCAGTTGATTTCCCAGATCTACCCAGTTGCTGCAGCCATAAGAGCTCATTCACAAAGAGGCTGCATACAGGTACTGATATACACCCCCAGACACAGGCTGTCAGCGTCTGGGAGCGTACATCCATACCTGTGTGCAAGTATATATGCTTGGAGTGGAGTTTACCAGTAAATGGTAAATTCTGCCTGTCATTTCAGTAAATGCAGCCTGCCATTGATTTGTACAGGTGGGCTGTACCTGCGTCTCCCAGGCACAGAGGTCTGATGGTTTTTACAATACAAGGACGTATGTGAATGAGCCCTAACAGTGTGTTTAGTAAGATATTATTTATGTGGGGAACAGAACTGCATTGTGCATGAGGACATACAGGCCTGGAGAAGTATTATTCTACTTTATACCCCCATAGACTATACAAGCACTTAACTTTCTTAGGGGAGTTGTTACCCAAACATTTTTTATTTTTTTTAGATTAACCATAATTCAGCTATAGTTCAGGGGATATTAAACATATGTTTTCCTCCCTGTTTGATAGCTCCTGAGGAAGTGGCAATGTAGCTGCAATATATATGGGTCATGGTGCATGTTCTCAAACCAAAACAGTACATTACCCGGCCAACTTCGGGAGCTGTACGGGCTATAGTGAATAGCCTGTGCAGCAGCCATTCGGTTCTACTGAACCGAAGGGGTCCTGGGGCCGAAGCTAGCTGAAGGATCAGCCGAAGCATCGGCTAGATCCTTCGGCAGCTTTGTGAATAACCCCCTAAGTCTTAGTGCCGGCATGCAAAAGGTCGTCTCAGTGCTGAGGATATCAATCCGCCTCAGCGTGCAGAGGGATATCAGGAGAGGGAGAAGCTGGTGAGCTAAAACAGCTGAGCTGGTAAGCTGGAACAGGTGAAGGCACCACTGTACTACTACAAGAGAGGAAAGAAAGTAAAAAGCCATATTGAAAATGTTGAAATAACATAATTATCGGCTATTCATAATGGTAATTTCTCCCCAGGCAGCAGTATTAATCTACCCCAAGTGGTATTGCGGTACCGTCCGTTGTGTTGCGGTCAAAATCATTGTGGCAAAGCCTTTTGGGTGCCATTCAAATGACTATAAAAAATGATCGGTGTGTTGTGCGGTAACATGCGTTATTCACATGGGAATGTGTGATTAACACACAGGGGCCCTGTCTGGGGGGGGGGGGCCCTTTTTGCAATCTTCCGCCCCTTTTTGGTATCTTGCACCGGGGGCCCTGAGGTTTCTAGTTACACCTCTGATGAGGCCTAGTGTCCCGCAAGAACCACTGAATGTCATAGACACCGCCAGGCTTCAGGGGCTGTCAGTCACAAAGGTTGAATCCTCTGTGGTGTGCACAATTTCCAAAGAGCCTGTGTCAACTGGATGAAAAAGAGTGTTAGATGCAGAGTCCAATACTCTCTATGCACACAGAACCATAGGATTCAGGCATTCCTCTTCAGCAGTTGGTAAGTTGCTCAGACTAGCATCTTATGCTGTTCAGTATGATCTGGACTGCAAACAGCTGCAACACAGAGCATCTGGTTTACTGTCTTCTGCTGTTTAAATCTAGGCAAAGCTGTGTGTATAAGTATAGTCATATTTTCAAAATGTCAATGACTGGTGCTGTGGATATTACTGCAATGATATGCTGGCTCCACCTGACTCCTCCCGCAGACCAGTTCATAAAAACAATCATGGGTGATCATGTGATTCTTTTTTCTCTTCAGGTTTAAAGTGGAAAATCACAGAATAATGTAAAATAAAGGACAGAAGCAAGGCTATGTATACAAATATAGATTGCTGCAGACTAGTGATCTAGACTGGAGTTTACAAAGGGGGTAAATGCAAAGACAGTTTAACTAGTAATGAATACAAAAACATGTGAAACCCATATCAATCAAAGTAAAAAAAACATAAAAACTCAGGTAGAACATACCTCCCTTCAACATGATGCTCAAATGTGTCCTGCTATTGTGAATGAGGACTTACATCCTTCTGTTTTGCTGGTGTTTTTGTAAATCTGTGCAGTACATTATATTACTGAGATCATCGTCCAGTGCACAACTATACCAGGAAGTAGCAGGCGAGTGAGACGCTACATTATACCGGCCGGTTTCCTTGATTTTAAATGTGAGTGACTATATGTTTTTTATAAATAAACGTTTATGCATACCACACCATGAGGAGGTTTCTCTTTTTTACCTAAATCCATAACGGACGGAGTGTTATCAAGAGTAAACAATTGGGGATGCGGACCCTCTGACTGGGGATCTTCTGCTTTAATATCCCAACCCGTGTGGTGAGTACACACCCGAAAGGGGATAGTTTGAAAGCACCGTGGTGTGGGAAGAATTCACTAACTGATGCACCGATTGAAGATATCTGCTTGAAATGTTCATTGGATCCAAATTTCAATCATATCACGGCTTCTAATTTGGGACTTTTTTTTTAGTTTTATATTTTGTCATCAGCTGTTCACTGAAATGTTTTGATACTAATTTATCACTGTTGCACTTTATTAGGGTAAAACACATGAGTGAGAATATTATATATATTGTAATTTTTGATACTATATATGGTTTTACACTGGATATCTAACACTGTGGACACACTGTATTTATAAGGATTTAAATTGTTATACACTGTACATTATAGATTTGTCTTATTATCTAATTTATAATTTATATATATTTATATATTTATATATTTAATTATATATATTTATATATACTATGCACTTTAATTTTTAGCGCTGCACAATTTACACGCTTTATCACAATAATACATAGCTGCATCTCTCAGCTCCAGATGAGATATGGTTATTATGTTTGTGGTGGAATTTGTTATTTTAGTCTGTCATTGCTAAGTTCTCTGTGATAATTACAAGTATAGGAAGTTGACCCAGGAACTCGCACAATAAACTCTAGTGCACTATTTGGATATTGTCTGTACCAGTTGTGGAGAGTCAGCAGGGCTGAGAGCAAAGAAGGGGTTAACTTGGGAGGGCAGGTACTTCCCCTACAGCCCTCCCTGTTAAAAGGTAACACAGGTGAGAGAGCAGGGGGGGGGGAGCTGCGAGACAGACAGAAAGAAAGGTCTGGGTGTGTGTGGCTGCTCAGAAGCAAGTGGACTCTATCTTGGTGAGATCACCTAAACGCAGTGCAGTCTTATTGAAGGACTTTATCTTTATGTTTGATGTTTGCTGAGGAAAGCCTTTTACTTTACCGTTTTGCTGAAGAAAGCTGTTTGTTCTGTTACCGCTGGTTGAAATAAAAACTGTTTATTTATATCGGACTGTGTTGAAGATGCATGTGTACCCCTGGGGCTCCCCACACAGTATAGACAGGTATAACGGCTGCTGGTTTTATAAGTACAAGTGAGGAATGTATCTTCATTTTCTTGTCCTGTCTGTGTAGAGGCCTCTCCACTAAACCTCCATTTACTGATCCTAAAGCAATAATATACAGTGATATAAGTAATTTTCCAGAACATGTTATCATATTATGATTAACTAAACATGAGCTACCTACCAGTCATTGTGCATATTGATAAGAGTAGCATCCGATTATAAAAACACATTGTGACAATGAATAAATATAGACAGGACACAAACAGTTAATGAGCAGTAATAGAGATCCTTTCCTCCTACAATATACATTACAGACAGTCTAAGAGCCATGTGTGGTTTATAGGTGGAGTCTATATGTGGTGTGAGTAAAAAGGAAAGATACAGTATGTCACATAAGGAAGTATTGTGACTGGCTGTCAGTGTGAGGTACATAATAATATAATATATTAAAATGTTTTACTCTTTTTAATTATGGAATAATTTATTTTTTACCCAATATAACAGTAGATGTAGAAACAATTTAATGTTCCAGTCACCGATCTGGCATAATTTTGCAGATCAGGAAGTTACAAAAAAATTGGAAGTCTCTATATCTGTATACTTGATTCAATCTAGAGACAGCTATAGCAGCCTCTGTGTTTCTCTCATTAAAAGGTTTCCTTTAAAGAGCAGTTTTAAAAATGCCTGCTGTTTATAGAGCTCATAACTCAAGCTAAAATTTACACACAAGTGAATGAGCCACAGCAGTGACTTATCCCATAGGGCCTGTTCACACAACTTTCAGTGCATTCCAGCAGCTAACCGTGCTGGAACGCACTGAATCGCATACTGTGAAGGCTCTCTGAGTTCTAGGGCTCTCTGAGTTCACGGCTGGCTCCGCCCAGTTTTTATTCATTGGCCGGAACCTGCTAGAAGACTCTGGCAGGTGTTGGCCAATAGGTAACAGTTGGGCACAGCTAGCTGTCACTGCTAGCTCTGCCCAATTGTTTTTCTTTTGCATCTTTGCCAGCATTTTTTTAAAATTATTTTTAATTTTCTTTATTTTTTCTTTTCTTTAAACTACCAGTGGCACTGGTCATTGATTTGTACAGAGTAAAAATCTTACACCTGCCGCTTCTGTTTGCACACTGTGTGCATTCATTAGTAGTTCTGGCAGAAAGAATCCTAGTGAATCTCACTGGTGGCCACCCCTTGCCACCTGTGTGAATATAGGTTAAATGTAAAATATCACTGAAAATATACGACAGCCAGGTGTTAATAGGAAATCATTACAACTGGATGTTTTTGTATGACAGTAGCCATCTGGGATCACTGTGTTTCTAGTACAGTAATAAGTGGCTGTGTCTTCCACTTTCACATTCTCTATTTGTAGATATGCTGTGTTTATGGAAGTATCAGATGTTATGATGAACCTTCCCTGATATGAAGAGGAATAAACTGTATATCCATAAGGATTAATACTCCCAATCCATGTCAATCCACCTCCTGTAACCTGTTGATACCAGAATATCAAGTAGTCAGAGATTTGAAATCCAATTCCTTTACAGAACATCTTCACACTCTGTCCAATGTGTTTTACTTCTGAGGAGGACTGAAGGAGCTCATCATCTGACATGACTCCTGTAAGGAAAGAATGAAAATGATAAAAAAAGAATTATAGCAGAAATATTTACAGCAATTGTGTACATCATTTTGTATCCTAGTTTACCAAGAAATGAAGACAGACACAAAAGACAAGAGAATAGAAACATGATGTCTTATTGGCTTTAGATGATCCGTGTGTTCTGAGAGGACACCAAGAGCTCACTAGAACATCACAACCGGACAGTTCATCTTTTCTACCTGGCAGGATGAGACCGGAAGCAGAGATTAAATTTACATGACGGGGTGATGAGGGCTATAAAAGCCTGTGCATCCTGTTGTATCTAGAATGATGTTCAAGTTGTTGTAGTTATACTTGTTATAGTGTTTCTTTCATGCTTAATTCTCTATTTATATTTATTCCATTTTTTTTTGTTTAAATGTTTACTTGCTGTAGCAATTTTATGTGGTTATATAAATACATAAATATAAAAATACCTACTTGTAGGAAAATATATAATGATATGTGCTAGAAATATCCAGCAGTTGATTTCTCAGATCCACTAAGTTGCTGCAGCCATAAAAGTCTTTTTTAGTAGGATATCATTTAGGTAGAGAGCAGAAGTCTTGTTGTTCATGAGCTTTATGATAAAGATCTGATCTTGTCTATAATATAATAATGTTTGATATAATAATAATAATCATCGTCATCATCATCATCATCTACTGTATTTTGAAGGACTTCTAGCACACTAAGAAGGACACTTTATAAACAGGCTTTGTCCATGAGTGTCGGAGGGAATTTATAAAATAGAGTGCAGTTTATCAAATTCATTTTGTTTTTTATGCACAGGATAATGACATTTACTATAGTATTGACGTTTGCTTGATTTTTACTTTGCATTTATGCTTGATGCGTTTTTCATTGAAATAGATGAAAACACCTCTAAATGCATCCAGTGCATGCATTCATAGGCACATCAGTGCATGCCCTCTTAAATGTCAATGGGGTCTAGTCACTAAGCTGCCGAGGGAATGACCGATCAGAAGTGAAGTGAGCCGAACACTGTTCGGCTATTCACTTCAGGCTGGTACGGCTGATTTCAGCCATACATCGGCTGAAATCAACCGTACATCGGCTTGCTTCGGGTCGGCCAAACATGCTCAGCATGTTCGGCCGACCTGAAGTGCAGAAGGAGTTCGACTCAGCCGATCCAACATCTGGATTGGCTGAGCCGAACCTCCGGCAGCCTTCTCACTGCTGTTCGGGCTATTCTTAAAGATGCCGAACAGCAGTGAGTGAATAGCCGAATGCCGCTGAGCGGCATTTGGCTCGGTCCCTCAGAGGTACCGAGCAGAACAGAAAAACAGTTAAAAAAAGTAAATAGAAAACGATTGTGCGGAGCTAGCAGTGACAGCTAGCTCCGGCCAACAGTTTCCTATTGTCCGGTGGCTCTGCTGCTGTAAAAAAAAAAAAAAAA